CTTTTTGCTCCTTCAAACCCTCCAAAATCAGCCTGATTTTGGAGGGTTTGAAGGAGCAAAAAGCTATCTTAAGCCTCTGTAGAGTTCAAGGCAATTATTTCACTCCTTATAACCCCCCGCCCCCGAGCCATCTTCTTAAAATATAGGAATCAGGGCCAAAGTTTCAGTTTTTTACCCACTCCAAAGATGATATGACATTATCAGCTGCAACCACCAGGCAGGACACAAATCAGCAGCATCGGTGGGGTGGGGATGTTGAAATAGTCAGGATGGCAGATGTGGCATCATGATTCAAGGCCCATCCCTTCTGTATGTGTGTCAATGTCACATGCACATGTACAAAAGGGATGGGGCTTGCACTGCTATGCCCATCAGCCATCTTGACTGCTTTGACCCCATCCTGCAGACACTGCTGGCCTGGGCTGGTGTAGAACATAAGTAAGATGACCTTTGCAGAATATGCAAGGACAGTTACCTAGGCAAAAGGGGCAGAAATGTTTTTCAAGCCTTGAGAAAGAAGTTAACATTGGGAAACGGCTCAGGCAATGCCTCCCTAATTGACTGGAGTGCAGGAGGAGGAAGAGGAGGAGGAGGCACAGCACAATCAGACTTGTAAGATTCTGTTGTTATAGACAATTTCAATAAAAGTAGCCTTCCTGTGGAGTTGATTTCCTGGTCTGATCCACCTAGTGGGGCTGACATCTAAAGAAGATTTGCACCTCAATACCAAAAAAAGTCACACCCTTAAGGAGCGCAGAGCATGTAATTATGATTGGCCAAAGGGTATGCATGGATCAACCCATTCTGTGTATGGGTAAGGAAAACATTAAAAGGTTTTACTATGGCCTCTTTGACATTTATTGCCTAATTTTGATTTAGGAGGAAGCCTAGAACCTGAGTTTCTTTGACCCAGAAGCATTCTCATTCAGAGTTCAGATTTTTGGAAGACGGAAAAAGCAACAAGAAAATGGTTCAGCATTTCAGTTTTTTAAGTAATTTATCTCACTTACCATAGGCGTATTTCATCTTACAAAAATTGCTGACACTTCCTAGGATCTTCTCTTTGCACACACATTTTTCTAGCCAGGAAATCATAAACCAATATGTCAAAGAAGATACGTTGCATTTAAAAAGAACAAGGGAGAGGGAGAAACCAGTCACACAGATTTTCATAAAAGCTTGCAATACGTTAATACTTACTTAAGAAACAGCTGTAGGGTGTAAGCTCCAAAGCCGAGATATTGTATAAAATTTTCAAATTGTGAAAAATAATTAAATGTAAGCATTCAATACATTTCATTCACCTTCTCCAATATGTTTAAATTACTTCTGTTAGTAGAATTTAGAATAATGGGTTATAAATGCCACCCCCCCATTCTGAACAGCTACCTTCTCTCCCAAAACGACTGTTACTTTTTTATTTATATTTTTATTTATACAATTTATAGGCTGCCTGACTCCAAACAACTCTGGGCAGCTTATAATTAAAAGTAAAAAAAACTGCCTGAGAAACAACATATAACCAAAGAAACCCATCCAACAGGAGCTGTACCTTCACTTTGCCCTAGACCCTGCCAGAATAGCCAGGTCTTTAATAGCTTCCTGAACATTGTCAGGATGAGCGAACATCATCCAAAGGACAGGTGCCGTCGCAGAGAAAGCACTATTATTTCTTAAAAATAGTCCAGCAATGACAGGACCCACCTTCCCTAAATATATAGAGGTCTACAGGTTATGACAAATCCAGCTAAACTCAAATATATACTTGTGATGAAATGATAGATCGCTGCATTAAAATTAAAGCACAAAGGCAGAAAAAAACTAAGGGACTCAGAGAGAAGACTTAGAGTGAGGAAAAAGGTGGTTGAAAGTTGGACAGCATGAAAAAAAAGAAGGAGAAAGAAATAGCCTCCATAAGAAAAACACCAATAGCAGACGTGTCTGCAGCAAGCCATGTCTGGTGGTGGTATTGCTTGCAGGTGTATGAGAAGTGGAGTTTGCATTACAACATCACACACACATTCCACTGCTGTTCCCCTTTTGCATCATTAAGCATGCCAAATAAGTTTTGATGTCCCTATTTAAAGACAATTTATATCCTATATTGTTTGCTCATACAGTGCAATTATTAAAGTTTTATCAACAAGTCCTGTGAGTAAACATGGGGCAGAATACAATAAAATCCCCCCAACACACACACACACACACACACACATCACACAATCTAAACTACTATAGTACTAGGAAAAGAATGGATAAGACAGGAGATAATTTCAGTATTTTAAAAAAAACCTGAATTTTTCATTCTGTTTTGGTGGCAGCAAGATTTTCAAAGTATGTTGTTTATCCCCAAAATAAACACTGACTAAATTAGGTCACTTTTGATTAAATAAACCCTGTTCTACCACAATGCTCACCTGGAAATCCTTAAATATGTGCTCACTTGGAACACGTAATTTTGGGATTGCACTGGTTTTACAGGAAGTTAGGCAGCATATTCAGTACAATGTATATTCTGCCATGAAAGTTCCTAGAACTTTTAACCTTTTTAGCCAATGCATTATAAGTAAAATGATAAATATTTCTGAGTAATCTGAAATGTTCTCATACCTTACCAAAGTAGGAATTTGTCTATTTTTTGAGGGGGAAAAGAAATCATACCTGGGTGTCTTAAGGCCGAAAAACCCTGCTTGCGATCACTCCACTGCCATTCATTTTCACTTTCGTTGGCTGGGGTTTGAAGGAAGTGGGGGATCCTCCCACCAATAGGAATATTGAGAAAAGCTGGATTGTCATAACTGGAAAGAGAAGAGCAGAAAGACAAGAACAGAGGGAGATTACAGGATGTTTGTCTAGCCATGAGGGACTTCTATTTAATATTTTTCAATAATACAGAAACGGTCCCAATGAGCCAATTAAACATGGACAGTTGGTAAGAACCAATAGTTAGCAGTTGCTATGCAAAAAGATAGAATGCTTCTTGGAAAATAATTCATCCATTTCTAACTGCCTGGGAGCTCTGCTGATCCATTGGGGTCTGCTGAGGGTGCTGCCCAGAAAGCTGGAATAAACTAGGGCTAGGGCCTTTCTCTGTGGTGACCCCAATGCTTTGGAATCTCTTCCCCTTCACCCTCTTTCATTTATTTTAAAAATAATTTGAAAACTTTAAAAGGAAAACACAATTTCTTTCCTGATGTATACTTTATATTAGGCACTGATGGCCATTCTAAGAATTGGATATAATGGTTTATTTATCTTAACTAAAGATGTTATTGTTATTGATCTCTCTAAATTACCATGGCTTGGTTTTATGGAAATGTGAGTGTACAAATTCCAGAAGATAGATAGATAGATAGATAGATAGATAGATAGATAGATAGATAGATAGATAGATAGAGATACTTAGTTTAAAAATGGAACTCCTGCACATATTATCTATATTGTTCAAGAAGCTCCACAGATTAATCCTAGAGACAGCTGTGATTTGTATTCTTTAAAATCCAAGCATCAGGTGCTGGAGCCAACCAGATGGCACCTTCTGCATGGCCAAGGAATGCACTGGAGCAGGAATAGGGCCCTCCCATAGCCATCCCATCCCATGTCCTGATTGGCTAAGAGGGTCCCCAAGCCAATATCTGATCACTTGGGCTGCCTACACTTGGTAATTTAAGGGTTTATTGTTCTTAAAACGACAAGTAGCTTATTGGTAGGCTCGTTTTAGTGGCTCCTGCCAGCAAGAGGAAGTAGCAGCAAAACCAAGGGCAGGATTTGGAGGGAGCAAGAAGAGCCAGTGTTGCTGGTGGGGGGGCCAAGTAGGGTGGGTCAGGAAGACCCAAAATGACTCGCCCTGGAGATCCTTGCCCAACACACTCTTAAGTTCCAAAATGCCCTCCGCTTCCCTTTCAGGAACAGAGAGCTGGTTTACCTGTGGAGACATTCTCCAGTATGCTTGTCACAGTCTCTAGCACAGGCACAGGGTTGGCAGCCATTTTCTCCAAAGCCCCAATACCCCAAGAGACACCTGTCGCATTTGGATCCTGCAACACCTGGCTTGCAGTAGCAGAAGCCTGTCTTCGGATGACATTTCTGATCCTGGTTCAGCGTTTTGTTCACTGAGCCCATGGGTTGGCAAGAGCAAGCTGGAAGAGAAAGTAGAAAATGATAGACCCTGTGGGTTTTTCTCTTGAAAACTTTCAAGTAAGGGCTCTGGTCAGGAAGCGGTTAAGTCAAATGAGTTTTAAAGTCATGTTGCAATACTGGCTATTGACTATTTTATTATTGTGTAGCAAATGTAATTAGGATGAAATATCATTACATTTCTATACCAAATATTCACCAGATACAGCTGTTACTGATGAATCTCTGCATGCATTTCCTCTTATATGTCCCAAAATTCAGAGAACTGTGAAAGCTGAAGGATAATTGTATACTGATTCCTGAAGTATGTCAGGAAATATGAATAGGTCAGTTCTGTTTAAATGGAAACCAAATGTCTGTTCTTATTGCTAGCCATAAACGAAATGTTCATGAAATATTTGGATTTCTGTTAGGGAATTAACCTTCTGCCTGCTTGCTTAAGATTTCTGATGGCTTTCTATTCCTAGGATTGCATATTTAGAGTTGCTTTTATGAACAAAATATTCTAAACTGGCCAAACCAAAAGGTGATAAGCCTAGGCTACAATCCTGTACAGTTGGACTGAGTAACTCCTATTAAAATTTAAAATGCAATTCATCAGCCTATTCATAGGACTGGAAACTTAGGCCCCAGACAGACTTGATAGGAGATCTTCAGTTTCTTTTTCCCATGCTGTTCCCTTGGAGTTCTGTTAGCCCAGTACAGTAATTTAAATCTTGCTTATATTTGGACTCTCTCCACCCTCTTTCTCATAAAGATTAGTAGCAACTTGGTCTATGTGATTTAAATTAGGAAACAAGTTTGTGGAAGTAGGTTAAATAGTGCTGCTGACATCTGACTATTTCCTTTTTAAGTGAGGAAATCTGGTCATAGATCTTCTCCACCACTAACAGTTATAGCCTTTGTTAAAACGAAGATGTGAGTGCGGCCTGTCATTCAGTGACAATTCATACAAACAACAAACATACAGATGCATACAAAAGATCAGAGTTGAATAGTCTAATGGGATAACTGGAAATGTCAGATACAGCTTCATAGTTAAGTGTTATATTCTGGCTAAGGCATTTCATATTTTGAAGGGATGTTTGAGCATTACTACTGAGAGGAAGTCAGTAAAGGAGGATTTGACTAGTGTTTGAATATTTGAACTTGCTATCCAATGCTGGTGATCAAGTGAGAACATGTTTGATCATTATGACAAAAGCAAAGGGATAGCTTCACATCTGAGTCCTGTTCATTTCTTTTCCCCAGGGAGCCTGAGGACCTATCCCTGAGGACAAGCCCAGGGACTTGAATCTCTGAATGAAAGACTTCTCTTAAACAGGCTCTCACTAAGGGATTAATGAAGTATTTCATTCAGACTTTTCATCTGTCTCCACTCCCAAACTTGCTGCCCTCTGGGGAGAAGGGGAGAGAGGATGGTTTTCTCATAAAGGAGCTGAGAACTGTGTTGCTCATCCCACAAACATCTGTGCAATCTGCTGTGACAAATTTATTATTTTCCTCTTTGGTATTTCACAGCAATTTTTATCATGGTGTTTTCCCAGTGAAAAGAAGCAGATACATGAGTTATTCCTGGAACTTGATATCAAACCCTTAGGCATTTTGCTTAATTAAGATCTGCTGGACAAAGTGTGGCACAAATGAAGGCTCATGAGCAGTGGAGCTGTGTGCAGGATTAACTACTGACAATGAAATCTGATTAAAGGACACCAGGTTCGACTGTTGACATGTTATCTTCTGGTTTACTGTCAATATACATAACAAGGAGGATTAAGATTGCATTAATCAATCAACTCCCACAATACTTGAGAAGGAGCCTTCACTGATGAAAGAATCTGCCTGCGTAGATAGGTTCAGACTGTATGATAAGAAGTCCTACTCATTTAGAGTTTGTTCACAGTCTTTCAGAATTATTCTGAGTGCACACAGGAGAACAGAGAGCCTGAGGTGTAATCTCATCTTCTCCATTACAGTTCTTTGGATGTCAAAGCATGCAAGTTAGGTTGGAAGCATGCACTGACTTTCTGGCATTATGTCGAGGCATCAAGAGTTGAGAAAGGAAGCAGCAGCATTGAATTTTTCTTTAAAAAACTGAAGAAACCAGCATTTCTGAAACTGGCTGATAGGTAAGACCCCTGAGGAAATCTAGTGATATACTGTTGCCATTTTAGGTACTCCTTCTGTCTACATACATGGCTCCCTCCTCACTCCTCAGCTTAGTTATTAGAAAATATAGCTTATACTGTACCTTTTATTACCATGAATAAATAATCAATAAATACTGTTCACTATCACTGTAGTAAGATATTCATTACAACAGATATGACACAGTTGTGGGATTTTTACCAAGATCTAACCAGCTGACAGACATTTTTTCACATATAATTTTTTATTAAGGATTTTTATTACAATAGTAAAAATTAATACAAACTAAACTTAAAGAAAAAAGAATAGTAAGAATTAAAAAGTGCAAGGAAAAAAAAAAGAAAAAAGAAAATTATGAAGAAAATATATATAAAGAAGTGACTTACAACCTTCATTACAACAGGTGTAGACAAATTTAGTAACTCTTCACCCCCTATAAGATTACAGATATCTCTTCATCCCATATCCCATCCCTTATCTATAAGCAAATCCATAAAACATAACTTTTCAATCCTGATGTCAACAAAAAGTCTGTAAAGGGTTGCCAAAACTTTGCAGATAAATGTCTTATTTTAACCTTGATCAAATAAACCAACTTTATATTCCTTCCTTTTCTAACAGTCTTAACCTTAGTTCATTCAAATGTTGTCATAGGATTTGATTTCTCTTCCATTCTTCTTTATCCCATCGCACAGACTCAAGGGTTTAACAAGCCCCTTTTGTAGATCCAATAAGAAGACATTTCCCAGGTCATTCTCTTGGTTTATCATTTGTATTTCCCATTTAATTTATAAAACTTCAGCCAGTTTCTTTTGTATATCCAATAAAGTGTCCTTTTCCAAATCATTCTCTTGACTTGTCATTTGTAGTTCCACTTTCAGTACTTTCTCTTGTCTTGTCAGACAAAATTTGCTCCACATCTGTCACTACCTCACTGACATCTTTTGGACATAATCTATCCATAGAATCAGGCATCATTACTGACACTGTTGATATTGTAGTTACTAATTTCTGGCTCCATTCTTCAAAGATTTAATATTTCCAGTATTATGATGGTTTGTGTCATTTTGTAAGTCTCAATTAACCAACACCAAAAGCTTGCTTGTATTTTTTTCCTTCTACTTAGAATCTTTAGTCCCCATTACTGACCAGTTTCTAAAATGATAGCTGCTTATCTTTGTTATGAACCAAGATAGCCAAAATAAGTCTGTTTCCAACGAGAAGCTATTTATTTGTTATAGTTAATTCCAAAATCTTATAGTAAAAGTCAATATTGCAAATTTATCTGGACCCTTAATCCATTTATAACTTTCTTAGATCAAAATTTTATTTAGCTTTTTGCTATTTCAAATTCTTTAAGTTCTTAAGCTTGTGATGAATTTTTCTTTTGTTCAGTTGAAGCTAAACTCACCTGGTGACCTTTCACATTTGTTCCAAAGCTAATAGCTTTAAGATGGTTAATAGGCAATTTCTGAAAGTGATTAGGAAGTGAGGCTTGCCAACTTAGTGTCCATTAAAAGGCTTCACTGTGGTTGCGAGCAAGATGGCTAGTTCCTTCATCTCCTGGTGCTCAAACCCACAGAAGACTGCTGTCCTGAGGTCTCCTCATGAGGAGCAGCCACCCAGAGCACATGTGGGCGATCTCCTGTCCTCTCCTTATCCAGAAAGGTTCTGAAGAACCAGTCTACTCACCGGTTCTTTGGTCTTTGCCATGGTCATTGGCTCCACTTTTGTTGAGATTTCTTCAGTTCACCATGCCTCCCCGGAAGTCCCAGGTGACAGACTTCACAGCAAACATGGCAATAAGTATCAACTCTCCAGAAATTCAAACCTGCATTCAGTAACAGCAGAAGCTTCATAGACTTAACGTGGCTGGATAATATTGCAGATAAGAAGATATACACACACACATACTTAACTTACTGTATGTATGTACGTATGTACAATATATGTTTTTCAGGGAGTAAAATGTTTTTGCTATTCCTCAAACTAATCAGGCAAAAGGGCTCTCATGAAATCACCTACCAACTGGGAAACCAAGAAGCATGAAACACTAATTAGAAACATCTACTGATGCCAGACAGATATTTAAAGCAATTTTACACACATAACACTGACAACACACGGTATGTTTTCTCGGTAATTGATTTGAATGAATAGCCAAAAGAGAGAGAATGCATTCTGTTCCATTTTCTAGACATAAGCAACATTCATACCAAGCATATGCAAACATTGCAAGAAAGAATCATCAGGTGCTTGTAGCCTCATGTAGATATTTTCTTAGCATCAACCAAATGACTCATCACTCAAGACTACTAGTGACTTCTTTATGCATATTATATATGCATGGTTTCAGGAGAATAAAAACAAAAGTGACAGGGATCCACAAATGTCATTAGCCTTGGTAAATAAGCCAAAAAGTATGGTTGCCAGAATTTGTTAAGAAAGGCCCAGTTGCTGTATTCCAAGCATCTTCAAAATTTAATGTGATTGTGGGAATGTGTCTCTGCCTTTCTTATATGACGAATGTCAAATAAAAAATAATGGGCACTATGGATGACTGGGAAGCACATTTGTGGAGCTGTACTGAAGCAGCTCCACACAATACTTGGCAATAAGACTTTCAACATGTGAGGTAGATCAGGCAGGAAACACAGCCAGATGAGCTAATTCTACTTTACTGTAAGGTTACACTAACAGAAACTTGCAAGTCTGAAAGTATATTTCTCCCCCACCCATCCCCTTTACAGCCAATGAAACTAGGGAGGGTCCGTTCTTAGCTTCTTGCCCCTTCCACATTCCTACGGCAGGCTACGTTGCCTTTTATCTGACTGTTCCCTTGGCTGTGTCTCTTCGCCCTATCTCCCAAGGTCATTCCCACATACCATTACATCTACAAGTTACCATCCCCAATAACATAGCAATTAATACTGATTGTCCGTTGATATAGGCATATTCATCTTGTGTAACCATCAGAGGGAAACAAACATCTCTCCTAATGCAATGCAGTTATTTTGCAAATTTGTACATTTGTGATGCAAGCACATCATCTCATACCTAAATGATGCTTGAAATGCAGCTCAGAGTGACCCAAGAAATTCAAAGTCATGTACCCTCCTTCAGGAGTAGGTCATGCATTCTGCATCTGCAGTGCAATGCAGTTCCATAGAAGAAGGAAAGCACTACAAGAGGCACGTGAACATAAATCTAGCTGCGCTTAGGCAGTTTATGCATCCTTAAGATAGCCCCCAAACTGTTCTTTGTTCTTTCTTTTTAGCAAAGTTTTAGGAAAGCTGTATGATGTGTATGCAATAGAAAAGCAGGACAGATTTAAAAAAAAAATTAATTAAAAATTAAACAGTGAATCTGAAATTTCAAACTTGAAATTTAACTTCAAATATATTTGTCTCTTTTAACATGCTTTACACCTTTTCAAATTTGATTAGTTCTGCTGTTTCTAGGTGGCAATTATGACACCTCATAAACTGTTAACTACTAAATACCACTGTGTATGGCAAATACCAGGGGTGGCATATGATCAAGGATTTAAAAGACAAAACCATCACTGTATATGCAGGTATCAAATGCTGTCAAATACAGTGTACAATACAGGTAGTTCCCAGTTTAAGAATGAGTTCTGTTCCCAAGGTCTGTCCTTAAGTCAAA